ACTGTTACATATAGAAGCAGAAGGAAAACCCATTTCTGTTTATCATCAACTTCTTAGATGGGAAGTAAAGTCCACAAGATGTCTGGTGCATCTCAGTCAGGGCATGGAGTGAGCTGTGAGGCCAGAGAGAGGGCAGCACAATGGGTGGGCTCAGTTCTGCAGCAGAATATTTAATGTATAGAGGCCTGAATCAGCAGTGTGGGTGTGTTTGTGTTTAGAAACACAAAATTCTTCAGCAACTCTGGATACCAGCTTTGAGGTCTCCCGAAGTCACAGAGGAGGTCTGAGCTCACTAGATGTAGAATTCAGCTAGCTCATACAGCCTGTGTAGTAAATGCATTATTTAACATTTACACAATACATACACTCAGGGGCCCATCAGTATAAGACACACACTGCCAATCCCAGCTGACACTGGACGAGAGGCAGGGCACACTCCGAACAGGTTGCCAGGCTATCACAGGGCTGACACATAGACAAACAACCACACACGTTCACACTCACTCCTACGGGTAATTTGGAGTCACCAGTCAACCTAAGCTGCATGTCTTTGTGCTGTGGGAGGAAGCCGAAGCACCCGGAGAGAACCCACGCAGGCACAGGGACAACATGCAAACTCCGCTCAGAAAGGGCCCGGGTCACCCAGGGCTCAAACCCAGAGCCTTCCTGTTGTGAGGTGACAGCTCTAACCACCGCCCCACTATGCCACTTCTTTCAGGTCTAACTACATCTTATTTTGGTCTGCTTGCAGAAAGACAGCAAAGTGAAGATTAAAAGTGTTCTTGAGGAGCTGTGCACGAGCCCCTCTAGCTGTAAGCTAGAGCTCTACCAGGAGGACAACTCAAAAGAAATCCTCGTGACTGGAAAGTATGTTGAAGGTCAGTAACATTCTTGTGGTAATTAATATGATAAAACATATGAAAACGCACACTCATATCTCATACACCTTCTATTACAAACCCTTGTTTTGTTTGCAGCTGATGTTGTAGGCATGACGAACAAGTTCAACAATGACAACATCAAAGACAAGGTAAAGTACCACTTACTATATATTGTATAGTAGAAAAACTCTAGCCATATACATGTACTTGTCCTTTTAATGGTATTTTTAAAAATATTCAGAACTGTGAAGTTGTGATTCGGTGTGTGGCTGATTCTCCTCCAAATGCACTGAGGTTTGCATCTTACTGACGATGAACGGACCAAGACGGTACTCTATTTCACGCGTCCAGCCATCAGAGTAAAGCATCCTATGAAATAAACATCCTACAGTAACAGGTCCACTAGACTGAGCCACCATACATTTGTTGACTCAGAGTACAGCTTGACGGGAAAACACACCAGGGAAAAGAAAAACACTCCCTGTGTTTTCCAAAGGTTTCAAGCTGCCAGTCTGGCAGTTTGTATAAAAAGCCCACAAACAGTCCACTTGTTAGCTGCAAAACATTTTTTGTAGTACCAAGGGAACACTCTCGGGCTCTAGGTGTGCCTGTGACACCCATCTGTCTTCTTGCACTCAAGATACGCTACATGTCCCTCCTTACCCCACTGTACACACTGAATGACCTTATAAGCAATTTACCTGTGTCACGGGCAGACTCTGTCTTCATTATACTGTCTACAGTCTACACATCTACACAAACAGTAGCCCAATAATGAAGCTCTCCTTTTGCCAGTGAAACAACTGCACATAGTGTACATCCCCAAAACACATCTGTGCAAAAATTCATGTCTTCACATAAGTCTAAGTCAGTTTTCGTTTGTACAGAATGTATAATAATTTGTTTGGTTTTCTAGAAGCACTATAATTTTGACTCGACACAAAAACAACATTTGACTCATGTTATTTTGTTCTCAGACTAATGTAGAAGAAGCTGTTCCTCACTGGGGGAAGAACTCCAAGTTGGTACTGGTTTCCTTGCTACTGACGGGCCTGCTGCTAGCTGCACTGCTGGTAGCTGGTTATTACCTCAAGACCCACCGCAAGAACTCCAAAGGAGTCAGACTGGTGAGTAGATTAGAGGAGGTTTCACGCTGCTAATGGGAACGGAGCCATAAAAGTCTCTGGTTGTCAGAACTTCCGACACCGCTATTATCACCTTGTTCAAGGTGCTCATGAGGTCAGCTGTTAGACAATTTTGCCTGCAGTTTGTCCTCCACCACTGCGACATTCTTACCACCTGCTCCTGACTCTCATGCTTATACATCTTCAGGGTAATCTGTTTCTTCCCTGGGCTTCAGCCCTGCTGTGGAGATGCACATCACAATGTGTTCAAGAGTCTTTTACCCCAGGGACAGTTCTTGGGCTTTAGTTTCTGGGAATAAAAAGTACCAGGACCGTTCTGTTGGAAACACAGCTGTACTTGCACACTGTTACGATTCTGAGATTAAAACAATTACCAACACCTTTCTGAGTGTATGCACAGCTGTCACCCATAGACCTCATTAACAAACATGTATTTGTTTATTTTTTTAACAAACACACTCTCTTGCTTGTTTGCATGTCATATTTGAACAGTGAAATTTAATCCGTCTGTATTTTAAACTTCTCCTAATCCAACATAAACTCTGATCTCAAGTGTTGGGTCTGTGCTCCCCTCAGGCCGAGTCTTTCCAGGTAGATGAGGAGAACCAAACTAACACCCTAGTGTCTGTGGCCCCCCTGCCCCAGGAGCCCCTCGACAAGCCCACCGTCAACGGAGAGTCTCCACCAGAAAATGGGACCAACCCCGCCCCTGCCACTAACGGACACTCCCAGGCCCAGAGCCCAGTGGCTGACACTGAAATGTGAACCATGATACCCCATCCTTATGGTCTACCAGTCACCTACTTGAACACAACCCCTCTGCTGCCTCAGAACCTGCCCACACATTGAGACAAATTCAATGTAATTTCAGCAAACAGATTCACCCTCTACTTTCCTCTCCGCGACCCTCACCTCTTGTAATGACGCTGACAATGCTTATGAAGCTCATGACTGTGATGACAGCAATGACAATGCCTGTAATGTGAAATTTTTGGGCCTTTGCTAGTGTCAAGAGAAGCACACATGTGTAGCTTTTGGACTCAAAGGTGATCAGCAGGCCTTTGACTTGGATTTGTTAGCAGCTCTGACTTCAGTCTAGTAGCAAAAATCATTGCAGAATCATCCAAATAATCACTGTTGATCCCTGATAAAGAAACAGGGAAACTCTGTCATTTCACTCACAGCTGTGGTGCAAAGTGACCACTGAAGTCAGGCAGTTGAAAGAAGACCAGTTTTAGTACTGTACTTAAAAAAGGACTGATGCTTAATGCTTGTTTTTAATTCTATGTCATTCAGGAAATGTTCAAAACATTTGTGTAACCTCTCTATTTGCCTTTAGCTTGTTAAGACCTATAAAGTATGAGATGGACAAAAAAGTGAATTAAAGAGATCCATCGAGTTTAACTATGTTTGCAAAGATTTATTTGTTATCATTGACATAGCATTAGCAAAATACAAACTAGTTACAGTAGCTCACAGCAAGACGATCTTTGGTTTTATTGAGGGTTTAAGATATGCTACCAAGCCATAAATAATGTGGAAATGTCTGAACACTAGCCTTGTGGTAAGACTGGCCAACTGGCCAGGGTGAACCCTGCCTCTCACCTGATGTCAGGACTGGCTCCATCCAACCCTTTTACAGGATGAGTGGTACAGACCATGGGTGGATGGATGTCTGAAAACTTCTACTATTTGCCTCAGTCTTTTATACCGATAACTACTGACCTCTGGTCAAAGCTTAATTGGGATAATTCGCCAAGGACATCTTTATTTTTGTTTGTTGGTCATTTTTATGATGGCATTACTGTACAGTTTTGTTTGTTTTTTACACAATGTCAGTTCTTTCCTACTCTTACCACTGTGCTTGAGAATGGTGAAGTGCATCATATATATTTTTTTTTTAATTTAGACAAAAGGGGGAAAAAAATCCCAGAACAGACTGGGAGTTTTCAAATTGCCTGACTGGTAAACAATCACTGCCATGAAGTTCATGCACAACATACAGCAGGTTCAGCATTCCCTTGACTGCCTTTATCTACTTGTTGATATGAAATATTTTTACATCAGTGGTACATGTTTTTTAGCTTTTCTTTTGAACAACTGGCTGCCTTTATAATGTACTGCATGTGTAAATAAGCCTGCTTTCTCTGTTAGTAGTACCTTGCCTGATACATAAACTGTGATTGTTGACAATATCCTTGTGGGTCTTCCTTATATTGGGTTGTGTTGTTTGGTTTAAAAACAAAAACATCTCAAATATTTGAGATATATATCAATTCAGAGCAATCAATAGCATGTGACTTTGTCTTTCCATCTTGGTGATGACACTTGTTGACATAATACATTAACTAGCTCTAACCATCACAACTAAATGCTGAACCCCTATCTCTACCCTAACTTAACCACCCTAAAGCCAAAAATTAAGCCTCAAACAGCTCTTCGAAGTTATGAGAGCAGATAAATATCCTCACTTTCCAACACGTCTTCACTCCCAAGGCATACAACTCAAATTGACACACTTCTCTTAAAGAAATTATGAATTAACTAGCAGCTTAAGCACTCGCATGCAAATGCAACCGTGTGGTGGATAATAACCTTTAATTAGAATCACAAGGTTTTAATTCTGGATTTTTGACAATCTTTAGTCTCTACTTCCCACTCAGCCTTATTTAGGAACATCTGAATGGTCTCAGTTTGCATCAGTACACCTGTGTATGCCTTTTTGTGTATTTTTATAACAGCACAGGTTGCACCTGCTGCTCCTTCAAGTGCCTGTAAGACCCTTGACTGGTGAGAAAATACCACAGACTGAAACGTCAACATCAGCTCAATATGAAGAAAAGTACTCTCAGCTTTGAAATTCTCACACATTTCTCCTAAGGTGGCCCTCTGTGCCTTTTCTGGGTGCAGTATTTATGTCCCTGTAAAAACGACTTTGTCAGAGGCCAGAAAATACTGCAGAGATTTGTCTCATGACAGAAGCAGATGAAAAGCTTCCTAATACCTGGGTCAGGCAATACACAAAGAGACTAATGAAACTTGGAAATGGTCAGAAGAAAAAAGTGAATTGCTTCTCAGGTGGTCGGCACTACATAACACAAGTAAAGATGACAGATGTGTGGCACATAGTACAAAAGGCTGGTGTTGAATGAACTGAGGTGAACAAATTCCGATTCTACCATTTTCTGAGCAGCCTGGTTTTAGGGAAGGGTAACAAATAGGCAGTTGGGCGGTGTCGCCTCTACGACAGGGACCTGCTCAGCCTGCCCTCTGAATCTGCTCTGGTCCTGGAGACTAGCAGGGAAGCCCAGACAAGCCACTTGTGGTCTGGCCTGTGCTTCCTGGCTGACAACTGGCCGTGGGTGGACAGGGACGACATGAATTACCAGGCCTGGGGCCAAGACCAGATGCCATAGTGCCCTGCCTGGAGTTGCCACTGTGAGGCTCTTTCAATAGAGAAACCACACTGGGTTAGCTGGGACTGTGCAGACAAACCCAAGTATCTCCTAAAAACACTGTGTACACTGCCATGTCAGTAAACGAAAGAGAGATCACATATTAAACAAGTATGTTCTGATGTTTTTCCTTTCAAAGATAACAGTTAAGATAATAGTTCTTGTGCTATGAGAGTGTGCTAGTATTTGCCACTTCATTAGAAAAATAAACAAGACAGTACAATGTGAGAGATAGGATACTAATAAAGGTATCTACTTACCTAAACCATTAGAAAATGATGTGTACTATATTCCATGCTTCAGATGTTATTGATATATACACAGATCTTTTCAAACACATTAAAAGCTGAGATTATAGTGATGTGATTCAATTGTAACCCAATGCTATGCATGTTGCATGTGAAATATTTAATATAGGGCAAATAAATCACATTATGATGGGTCACTGCCTGCTTATCACTCTTATGTGCATATCTTTCAGCAGACAAATCCAACTGTATCAATTTACTCATCCTTAGTACAAATCAACATTAAATATTCATAAAAGGTAACTTGTGCTTTTACTGTAACTGAGACATAATGAGTAAAGGAAAGATTATAAATACTAAACATCTGTTGACTGGGTCACTGACTGGTATGACACCAACAATAAATATATAGTCTATATATAGTCTGATATACTATTACATAGGAAAGCCAATCCCCCCTCATACCATATATATATCTTTCCAGCATTTTCACTGTAACATTTGGATCTCCGTTATATTAAAATAGAAAATTGTTGGTGTTAAAGATGTCTCTTAACAACAAAGAAATGTTTATGTTGCTTTTACTGTCAGTAATGGTCTAGTGCCAATGCCAGTGCTTGGAGCAAAAAGAACAAAACGGTAATGGCCTACAGTACGTGCTCCTGATCACCTTGAAGATTCAGCCACACAAAACATGCTCAGAAAGTCACCTGTCGTGCTGGGTGTGAGGGAGCATGCCATTGAGAAAAGCCTCAGTCTGTATGTGTGTGCAGCTGATGCAGCCACAACAAATTAACCAGTGCTGTCATTCCAGCTGATGTGACCTTTTTCAACCCTTGTTGTTACACTCTGACAGCCCATACATGCCTGCTGTAATGGTTCACTCACCAGATCCACTGGGCTAAAGGCTGCAAGCTTGGCAGGCGCTGTAAAGCTGAGTGGGTGCAAAGGTCAGTGCAGTGTTTACTGATAGCAGCTTGGCAATGACCCTGAACAAGGCTGCATCACTCCACCGCTCAAGATTATTGCTGCAACAACAAATACCACAACAGGTGACATGTCAGTCTGTTACACCAACACCAAATCCTTCATTCATCACACATTCACAGCTACAGTCCATAGTCACTCAAGTTTTACTACATTTCTTGTGAAACATTTATCCCGATTAATTTGACATACATCAATATTTGCCTACTTGGGAGCAATGTGGGGCTGGCTCAGAGCCTTACTGAAGTAAACTCCTCCACTAACCGCACGATAAATAGCTGGCTGACCAGTCCACCACCTGAGCTACAATCACCCGTTTGTCAAGAAATGACCAGAGGCATCTCTCATGCAATCCCAAACTTTTCAAACCCCACCAACAGAGTTGCAAAGTGAAATGAGTTATTTGAGTCATGTTACTTTTTTTATATAGGCAGTGTTAGGTAACTGACAGTAGGAACACTTAGTCAAGCATCCTGATCTACAATCAGTGGAAGAAGTAATCAAACTTAAATAAAAGTGTAAATCCAAAGCATTTACCTTGGAAAAAAGTATAAAGGTCTAAAGGTAGAAAAATGTAACCCAGCAATCGATGTTTTTTTATATAGGCAGTGTTAGGTAACTGACAGTAGGAACACTTAGTCAAGCATCCTGATCTACAATCAGTGGAAGAAGTAATCAAACTTAAATAAAAGTGTGAATCCAAAGCATTTACCTTGGAAAAAAGTATAAAGGTCTAAAGGTAGAAAAATGTACCCAGCAATCGATGTTCAGAAAATCCCCTTTCAGACTGAAAAATTTTAATATATTATTAAGATTATTATAATCATAAACACATAAACCCTAAACCTGCAAACTAGTAAATGTAATGAGGTATAAAGTACAATATTTTTAACAAGAGCAGAAATGAAATAGTATAAATCTGAAGAAGAGTACAAGTATCTCAAGTGTTAGTTACCTAATTTCCACCACTGCTCTTAAGTGCCCTGATGGAAAACAGAATTTATTCACCAACAGTCTGACTGTTTGGAAAAACAACCTGTGGAGAATCTACTTTTGGCAGTCAAAGAGCTGATCCATATTGCTGTGGTTCCAGCAAAGCACAATAGCTAATATTGTATCCCCACCTGCTGGAAGTATTTTGTCATTTCAGCTATTAAACCACCACGGAGACTGTTCTGATTAGTCTGGAGGAGGCTATATTGAATAGTACTTTAACAATAAACTCATCTGGTGTTGCTTTCCACATGGAAACTCGAGGTCACAATACAATACTGTCTGAGCGCTTTATGACGCAGTTACCCTGTTGCCACGCAACTGCTGAAAAGACGTTACCTTGTTCTCTTTTCCAACATTGTTAATGTGTTTGTGTTTGTGGCACAAGAAACTACCTTCAGAACTGTGTTTTAAAAACTACCAAGCCCACAAGGCGCCAGTTTAAACATACGTGTACTTACTTCAAAGACAATGAGAGTATACATGACAACAGACGAGCACAAATGGCATAAAAGATAAAGGTTTTGAGATATGGTTGTGAGGCCTCAGAAGCCACGCCAAAGTGTGAGTGACGTGCGTGACGTGCGTGACGTAACGTGCCTATTACCGTAGAAGACAGTAAAGTGGAGCAGTGAGTCACGCGTGTTACCGTAAATTACGGTCAAGTAAAGCAATGAGACACGATTTATAGCAGGTAAAGTAAGCCTACTTATCGCTTGTGTGACGTTTACTGCACCATATCCGAATGAAAATGATAAAACGTCAAAATCAGCACTGAAGAGGACACCAGTGCTCCTGGTGCCTGTTTGGTTTGGTTGAATCTTTGAATGGTTTCTTGTCAGACTAAATCCAAGCCAGTTACACTACACTGCCATCTGTTGACACAAAATAGCATTGCAGTTTAGGCGATATTTTTTGTATTGTCACGCTTCACATGCTGTATTTGTGCTATATGAGGTAAGACAGCTGGCAATAATATATGTACGTAGTGCTAGATCGATGTATTACAAAGCATTTTTACGATTATTCTTATAAATAAACAAGATGCTAGACACATATGGCCATAAACATCCCCATCTCATGATATATTAGCTAGACCAGGAGGTCAGAAGTAAAGCGCAGAAGACTATATAGTGGCTAAACATGTTCTAGTATGTTTTATTTCATCTAAATAAAGCGGAGAAACTTTAGGTTATTATAAGGGACAGTGGTTCCTAACCATTTTGACTTTTGGTTGATTTAAAATTAAGCAATTATTTGTGACTTCTCATGTGTTGTGCCCTGTTTGATCAAAAATATTTTCCTTCTTAGATTTGTCCTATCTGCTAATTGATTGAAGTGAGGTCCAATTTTATTTTAAGTTCCTATTTTCTGTAATGTATCATAGCCTATAAGAGGCTATTGTAGTGTACCTGATGGGCCCATGGTCAGGGGCATGGTACGCACTGTTCGTATTCATGCAAATAGAAATGTTTATTTGAGTGTTTTTCTACAGAAAAAAAAGGATAATAGGGCCTCGGCACGACATCTGGGAGTTGCGTCAAAAGGAGGTGGTTTACGGTAAAGCGGTGCCCATTACCATGTGATTTCGCCGATGTTTGTAAACATGCGTCAGCCACATGTGATTCTGGGGACGAGGAACAACTCTCCAGCCGCCTGACCAACCAGTGGCCGGGGGAGTGTCAGGGGCGGGGCTCCTGTGTTGCGCTATGGAAAATCCTTAAGAGGAAACACAGTGATAAACGTAACCTCTGAGATTGGCAATAGCGACAGTAAGGCTGAAACGGGAGTCTGGAGAACTGATCGTTGCCCGAGGTCCGGTTTAAGTGGCGCCAACCGGGAAATGGATGAGAACACGTCGGCATGGAAGAAAACAGGCTTGGGTAAAACACGTAAGTTATTTATGTTATTATAGGGCGAGAGCAGCATAATGCTGCGTATGTTGCGTAGAGAATATGACTATGTAATTCATAACCGCTCAAGTGGTGGGTGAAAAGGTAAGAATAAAGTCTAGAGGCGCTGTCGTAAAAGTGTAAAGAATAGGTTAATGAAATAAAGAAAAGAAAAGAAAAGTCCAGGGGCTTGTTGATGAGAGAGGTTGTAAGCACTTTTTGTAATGATGCGTTTTTCATCATCGACATGACAACAGGTAAGTTAAACTGCGTCAGCGAGAAGGACAGACAAGCTACTCGAAATCCAGTGGGAATTTCCGCTGCGATGGTGGAACATGCTGCGACGGCATGACGGCGTAGTTCTACTCGGTCTAAAAGTTAAGTTGTGACTGATTTCGATGTTAAAAGGAGGATGTAAACAAAGTGTGGAGTCGGCAGGGATGGCGTGTGAAGGAAGAGCCAGGAATAGGATGCTGCGCAAGAGATGGATAGTGCGTAATCCTGTAGCGGGAGAGGACGATGTTACGCAGTTAATATTGGCACGACCATTTAACACCTCATGGTCTCGCAGTCTTTTTCTACTGTTATCAGAATTAACTGACAGCTTTTCAAATAAAAACCTTAATGATATAGCCTTTCCAAACGTGGCCACAAAGTGACACACTCAGGGTTAATCTGTTGTCTCTGTAATCTCAGACGAAGTAAAAACTTAAAGCTTCAAGTAAGCAAGACAATGGTGACGCAGCTTGTTTTATGTTTCAGGTGTCAAACAACATTTGCTGCGTCACAGAGATCCCTGGAGGTCCTTCATAGCGATCTTGCTCCTTAGTGCGCACTTGATATGATGAAAACAAGCTTCATTTGAAAAACATAGGGGGTGCTATTGAGTAACACATTACTTGGTATCATCTACTGTGAAGGGATGTTGAGGCACAGGTATTCCTCATCTTTGCCTGAATCCTCAGTTTTCACTTCTTATCTCTGGGGCCCATTTTACTCTCATTTTATATTGATGGTATGGACAAAAAGAAAGTGATTTTGTAATTAAAGTGCATTTCACAGAAAGCCTCGAGTCATTCAGTAAGTGAGTTGTAGTTTTGGATTCCTCAAAGTTGTTGGCAGATTCGTCTCCCTTTGCTAGCGCTTATAATGCAGACCTGCCAGAGCACAAGAGGATGCGGACACACCTGATGAGATGGCACTGTTGCTGCTGACACCCAGGCCATTGGCCTCCTGAACCTTGCTAATCACCCTAGTGAGGGAGTGGAGGAAGGAGTGGTTCCTGCTTACCAGGGACAGGAGGGGACAGGAGATGAAGCGCTTACTTGCCTCAGAAAGCTTCTGAGGTGAAAATGAGACGCACAGGAGGAGCAAACTCAAGTGGATTTGTTCAGTCACTGGGTGAATCAGCAGTAGACTTCACGAGTTGCTAAACTGTTGGCAAGGAAATGGAACGAGAGAGACAGAGAGAAGGGGAGGGGTATGGAAGGGAGCTTTAGAACTTTAATTATGCGTACTGAATAGAAACTTGACTCCCGAGGAATTGTCATTTGTAGTTTTGAAACAAACAGGTAAAAAGGTCATGGGAGGAAGCTCACACTGATCACTGAAAGTGTCAGGGTTGGACATGCAGTCGTATATTCCTCATGCTTATTTGCATTATTCTCATAATACTGTTTGAATCAAATAACCTACTCTATACCAGAATGTTTAGGGCTGTCAAAGCTCGTCAGAATAATTTGTACTGATTGTGAGAATCATGTCATGTGCAGTCACAGTGTTTACCACGTCTTCTGAAGCTGACCAGTAAAACAAGTGACCCACTTCCAAAGACACAGAAATGTGACTTCAATTGTTACTTTGCTATTCTTTCCAGGAGGGGTGCTGCCTCTCAAATCAAACAAACAAAAGAGCCCTGTGCAAGAGGGCTAACTGTGATGCTTTCAACCTAGTTTTATTCTCTGAGTTCTTGGAGAAATTTCACAATAATTCTGTTACCGCATACTAAAAAAGCACTTAAAAGACTCCCAGGGGGAGTGTGAATCCACTGCAGGGGGCCAGCATCACCTGTAGCCCGCATAAACCTTCACAGAAACTGGTGAGCGACCCTCTGCCTTTTATACCAGATCCCTCCTACACAGGGATTATAGAATAAGAGGTGGCACAGAGCCGAGAGATGACAGCGCTAAAATTAAACTCAGCACTGCTGGCCTTTCTAGATGATGATGTATAAATAGACAAGTGTGAGGCAGCGTTCATTTGCAGGTATCATCAGCAGCTAGACACCTAATGTGCTGCAAAAAGGGCAAAACACTACTCTATGCTCCTGCGCTGAAAGGCCAAAGGGACCTATCCCCACTGCCATTATTAATGGCCTTAATTTTTCTTTGTGCAGAGGTATGTATAAACCTCTATAGATATTTCTTTAGGATAGACAATACATAGGAGGCTGAGAGAGCTTATTGTTACCTTAGTGTTTTTGTCCCAAACTACTGTTACCTCAAAGGGGAGCATCAGCCATGCTTTCTCTCACTTCCTGAAAACCTGATTTGCTTTCATAAAGCCGTACATCCGCATCTCAAATCTCTATGTACACTTCTATCTTTGGTTGTTTAACTCCTAAAGTCTGTCCTGTTTTATGCAAGGCATCTGATATTTCCCAACAGGCAAAATAGTAGCTAGAAGAAAGTGACAAAGTGTAAATCAACTCTTCCAAACCATCGTGCAGCAGATAGAACAAAGGGTCAGGCTCATCCGAACGTGTTAAGTCTCTCACATCTCCAGACATTTCGCAATTTGTTGCTCTGAAGAGAAAATGATGCAACACAGAAAGAGTTATCCAAGCTATTAAATGATCAGAACACAACTGGAACTCTGAGGACATTGTCTGTACAAGCAAAAGCAGCAGGAAAAAAGAGTCTGTGCCACCTTTGGCTCTGATTCGTCCAGCATGAAGTATCATGTGATTCCTTTGTAATTTCGCTGATTTGATAGTAGCAAATTAATAAATAACCTTATAATGGTTGTGGGTTTGGTAGGTATTCACAGCTCATAAATATAAATATATACCAATATATTCTGTAGTTTAAATTTTTTTTTTTTAGAACAAATCTTGGGAGTTAGTTTAAGAACACATTACCTCAATGAGTTTGCCCCTCTCACTCCTGATAAATTAGGACCTCTAATCTATAAGAGGATTAACCACCTATCCAGTTTACACATGCCCACATGCACACAACCCCACCCCCTACTGATACTCTCATACAATGCCACACACATGCAGGCGTTCAGTGTTTATTTCTTCACCTACTCTAATGTGGCCCAAGTCTGTGGCTCTTCCTGTGACACAGTTTGATACACAGTGGGATTTGTTTATCTAATTTTTGTCAACCACAGAGATATATTATGTTAGCATTATCTTAAATAAGACACATTTGATCAGTTTGTTCCTGGCTGAAGAATTATTTGACCTCAGCTTAACAGTTTTTGTAGCATGTGCTGTGATTTGCTGCTAAAGACGGACAGTGCAGACAGTCTTGATATAGCAGCTTCAAATTAAACCAGTTGTTGCGCACACTTTTATTTTAGTTTTAAAAGGGGCCGATGCTCCTTTAACAAGCTGTAGATGGTCAGGTGACTTGTCAGAAAAAAACCTGCTCCGATGTAGAAAACAGCCTCTGCACACACAAGAGATGGCAAAAAAAAGCTTGTAGTAAAAAGAGCAGGCGAGCAAGAGCGAGGTAGATGCAGAGTTCGTGAATAACAGCGTGACATGGGAGGAGTCAGAATAGCAAAAACAAGGACAAGACGAATGAAAGCAGTGTTGTGACCTTCAGACTACATTGTCTGAGTTGTTCTCGTAGGTGCCACTATTCATGTAAACACTGGGAGTGCTTGTTGAAATCAAGGATATTTAAAGCATTTGTTTGGGTCAGAATACATTTTTCAAAACAGTGATGGCTATTGTATTTGGTCAGATTTCATTGTTAGTGGTGAAAAATGTAATAACCCTATAATAACCAATCAGCTACTTTTGTTTTAGAAGCCAAGGTACTAAACTACCAGTGAATCGGATTATAACATGACAGACAGGGAAACTGAACCCGAAAGATAGATGAAGGTTTTGGATTAACTTTAATACGTCACCTTTTCCTGTCAATAGGAAAGTCTGAAACACTAACAAGGCAGGACAATGCCAGGCTTTTAATGCCAAGCATACACACAGAATCTAGTGAGTTTTCTGCATTAACCGTCCGGGTATTGTGTGGTTAGTTAAGAAATAACTATGTCCCAAATGTGTTCCCTTTAAATATACTGTACTGCATACCTTTTAGGGATGATCACTAATGAAGCCTTACTTATTTCAGGACCTGAATATTTCATCTTGCACCACAGTCAGCCCCACTTGGACCAGGAGTGGGACTGGAAGCCTGAGTCAGACACAGGAGAGGACACAGTACCCTATTGTGCATTACAAAGATGTCTACAGGGAGCAGCGTAGATCTATTTCTCCACAGTATGGTTCATAAACGGTATTGTTGAGGTTTGTCTCTGGTGCCAGTCTGCTGCTGTGCCATTTCTTTACACAGAGATGTTGGTCATCTGATGCACTTTAATACGAGGAATTGAGCTGCTGAGTCATTCTGAGGTGTACTGGCCATGACTCAGTAATTCTTCTCATCGGGCCTGGTGCCAGCTAAGAGGTTGCATCCTCTTGAGTTGCTGATTCTTTTTCTGGCTGTCTGTCTTTGCAGAAAGAGCTAGAACTCCAGGTCTTAAAGGATAACAACAGCACCGTAAACACAGACCTTGAAAAATACTTAAAACCTAACAACATACAAACTAAAATATGTTATGTTTCTAGCATGTATCAGTTTTTGTTGTTGGTAAACTATAGTTTGTATGAAGATGTCACTTCACGGTGGGTGTCATAAAGGAACTGGGTATTCTGTTTCACATTAAATAACCAAGAGTTGAGATGATGGTTATCAGACATTCTATTATGCAATTTCACCACCACACCTAAACCTGAAGGGACTGTTTCAAACGCATTGCAGACGTTTACACAGGAAAAAGGGGAGTTTATTGTGTACGTGTCTAAAAAGTCACAGTCCTCCCTAAATGGTCAGGAACAGATACGTGCCTGGAAAACTCAGTATTTGTTTCTCGAACGCAGCTGGAATAAAAAGAAATTTAAGGCTATATATTTATTCTTATTGCAGTGAGAATGTTTCCATCTTTCTTATTTCCATGTTTTAAAATCTTTATTGACATATGGTTTTGTGCAGATCATCTTTAAAGATGGTAACCTCTAATGCAGGTCCATTATTATGAAGATAACCAGTGTATATACAGTCTGTCAAGACACTGGAAAAGAGTATCTGTCTAAGGGGAAATTCAATTAGTACCAGCTTATTCATATTTCTTCACACCGATGAAACATGCCCACAAGAACAACAAGCCTCTTGTACTGATAGCATTAGCATAATTTAATTAGTAAAAATGCATTCAGCATCTTGATTCATGTCATTGTCATCATCTGATACTGGAACTGTGTTCTAAAGTAATGACGATTACTTTTTTCTCTAATTTCAGAAAGGACATGGCTTCTGAATGTGCTTTTCATTAAGTGCATCCTCCCCAGGAAACTGGTTTCAGATGGTGTCTTAGAGTATTAAATCTCATCTAGCACCATTTGAAATCGGTGTTCTTGAGCAGGAACAGACTGCAGGAATGACAACGGCGTGTGACCTTGTTCACCGAGTTGCC